CAGGGTAATGTTCAATGTAAAATAGGTAAGTAAATTCAGTATGCAGCGTTGCCGCTTCTATATAAACGCGCAACATCTTGCTTAGTTTAAACGGCATCTTATTATTAGATTAAATTAGGTTATTATAATTAATTAATAGCTAGAAACTAAAATTAAATGAAAATGAAACTTCTTCTTCGAAATAAAGGGTATTCAATTACGTAAAAATCATGAAAATCAATTCTTATTTCAGACGGTAAGAAAAACTTGAAGATAATTGGGCCAGTTTCTTTAATGGAACTGGAAAATATACAGGGTGTGCTATTTAAAGAACTCATTATACCGTGTTTCCAAATTTCCCGTACAAAATCTGTGTGTTCCATCTAAAATGGTATGCCAGGAAGGAATGCCTGCACTATTCCAGGAATTGTTTGGAAAAAGTTCTGTTTTCTATTTACTTACAGGACGGAACTATTAAGACTTCTTCAAGTGTCCTGAATATAAAATAATATTAAAACTGAGCAAGATGCTGCCAGGTTTATATAGAAGCGGCAACATTGCATAGTTTGGGGATCGGTATCGGGAACCTAAAAAATGTAGTTTCTAAATAGTAACAGTGGTTTTAATATAAGTTTGACTAATAGCGTTAATTTTTTGATTTTCAAAAATTTGCTAGATGTAACAATTCTGGCACCAATTGTCAATATTGGTTGAATGATTTGCCAAACCTGTTTCTGATTTCACTGATTTTGATTAAATCGAAAATCAAAGAACAAAAAGTTTAACCCTCAGCTGCTGCGTCTGTCTCGTTTCTCGTGAGCTGAGAAGAAATCGATGTGAACGTCATCATATTATTTCACAAGATAGCTAAGTACCAGATAAGGTCTAAATAAACGACCAGTGTAAAGTTCACGTTGATTTTTGTATAATTTTTGTTACATAAATGTTCTGATAATGATCTGCGACAGCACATTATCTTGCCTTTACGTATACGTCTGAGAGGAGATAAACAGGAAATTGAAGCTATCCCCTCCCTCAATTTTAATGTCGGCTATAGGTAGCGTATATAAAGAAAAAATAGTCTACAACAATATTTTGGCGACCAGACAATTCCTACATCGAATAATTGGAACCATCCGTAGCAAAATAATAAATTATATCAATTTAATGTAACCGTTTTGAACAATCATTATCAGATAAATTTCCAACGATCATATTGCCATCACCGCAATCAGTTCGAAAAATACATATAAGTGGTACAAACTTTGGCAGTGTTGCTTCATTCGTCCCTCAAACATGAAGCGTTCGTCTTGCTTGGTGGCGTGCTTCTTTATCATAAGTGCGGCGGAGTCGGCTCGTATTTTGGGTATCTTCATGAATCCCAGCCACAGCCACCAGTCGTACTTTCAACCGATCTGGAAAGAGCTGTCGCTCAGAGGACACCAGGTGACGGTATACACTCCCAAACCCCTCAACGATCCCAGATTGACCAACCTTACCGAGTACAACATAAACCTAAGGGATGAGCTACACAGCAAGAAATTTGATTCGCCCGATTCGAACGGCTACACCAACATTATCAATCGATTGTTTAGATACGCGGACGAGCAGCTCAGCCATCCTGCGGTAAAGGATTTAATAAAAAACGTGGACAATCGGACGTACGATTTGCTTCTGGTGGAGTTCTTATTTCCCAGTTACTACCCGTTAAAAGACGTCTACAAGGTGCCGATGGTGGGACTGGTTTCCCTGCCGCCCGGCTTGTACGCGTTAGAAAATTTGGGAATGATCAGGAACCCGCTGCTCGATCCAGACGTCATGTTGCCGTTTTCTTCCACGTCGGAGCTGAAGCAGCGACTTTTGAGTTGGGTCTGCGATTGGGCATTTAAGATTATGAACACGGTTTATTTTATACCGCGAATCAACGGCCAGGCTAGGAAACACTTCGGGGAAAACGCTAGGGACGTAACGGAGATAGCGGAAGAAGTCAGCCTGGTTATTTCCGACACCAGCTTTCTCTTGCACAACGTCAAACCGGTTTTACCTGCTTTGGTGCCCGTCGCTGGGATACATTTGAAACCGAATAACCCTCTGCCAGACGTAAGTAAGGTTGATGCAATCGATGGGGACCATAACTTTTTAATCCAAGATCACTTTTAACGCAAAACTCCCTTTTCAATAGGAGAAAACTAATCTCAGTGTCTGGAGTCCAATTTTCGTAAAACACTTAATAGTAAAAACCGCACATGGGTATCCTACAGGGTGTTTTTGGAAAACGTATATTATGCAGTAACTTTTCTTGATTGATTGAATTGATTTTTTACATGGGACATCCTGTATATTTTTAAATCAGTTCTCTAACTTACTTGTCCAAAAATATCCCGTACTTGATATTTTGCTACACAGTTTTGCACAGCTAGACTTTGGGAACAACCACGTACTTGTGGTTTCTTTTAGTTGCAAAATCAATGGGTCATTATACATTATTTTATTAAAGCCGTTAATAATAATTTAACAACGACAACATGAAAGTTAAAGACACCAAGCGAGACTGGCAAGAAGAAGAAAATATAATTTCAATCAATAATTCCCTACCCACTATACATTTTTAAAAAGAATATAAAAAGCACAATCGAGTTATTAAATAATATACATATAAATATGTGCTTTGTATCTCAAAATTGTCACATTATAAAAAATCTGAGTACGCCACTGAAATCTGTACTACGGTCTGAACCCCTTATTCAATTCAAAAAGAAAAGCAAATTTTTGAAACGTCAGATTTCAAAAATATATTGGCTCTCTCACTAGTTTAGCTCTTATCATAAAAAAACGTATTTTTCAAAAAATCCGAGTGCGGCACTGAATTCAACGTAAAAACATCTATGAGATTTTCATCGACTAAGTTTTCTCTTTCACCCTGTATCTCAAAAACAAATTCAGTTAGTATGGAGCTTTTTCAAATTGTGTGTAGTTTTACAATTTGCACCAAAAGTTTGCATTTTCAAGAAAATTTATATTAATGTAAGCAATCCCTGTACAGGGTGTTTTATGATGATGATAAATTGATAAATATAGAATGTAAAGGTCTATTGTCCATTGGCCACTCCGCCATAATCCGAAACACACTCTACTACACATCACATACTCGCACTTAAAAATTTATTTGTGTCAATGTTTGTGAAATATAGGTCACGGATAATAACTATTATATTCTTTACAAATAGGGAGAAGCAGTTAATTTTAATACAATGGATATTCTATCGACGACTTAAATCGAGTGTTTATTGACATTGAATAACTAACTTTTTTCCATATTCTGTGTAGGTTATTAAATTTCGAACATTATCAACTACTACGAATTCTATTCATAGTTTTTTTCAATTTTCTTATAGCACTTCGGTCATTTTTTTAATTATCTAGACTTCGCCTTTGTAATTTTTATTTCTATCTCTAGCATTTTCGGCTGATATAAAAATGTAGTTTTGTTGGTGCGTTGGACATCTTTTAAGAACATGCAAAATGTGTTAACCTAATACGCTTGTTACGTTGCTATGTCTTTAGCATATTATTCTACGCTATGGCAGCATGAACCCTCACTGAAACAATGTGTAAGGGGATCAAGGCTTTCGAAATGTGGGCTTACCGGAGAATGTTAAACATATCATGGGTGAACAGAGTGATGAATCAAGCGGTTCTGTAACATATGAACAAAGAAAGAGAGGTGCTTAATACCATACTTGCTTTTGGTTGCCAAAGAACATCTTGGCTCAAAAATATTCGTCACCACATTGTTTAGATCTGCCGCGGAGAAAGTGAAGATTATGCAGTCACACTTAAAGAAGACTGGTTTAGACTTTCTCTTTGATATTGCAGGACCATGATTTTGCGTCATTATTAAGGATTTTGGTGGTCTTTTTGTTTTTTTTTTATTTCCTGCCTTTCAGTCATTCTTTAATAGGAAAGGTAAAGAGAAATATTATTATTAGAAGGAATGCTGATAGTGTATTCCCTACTTTACAAATATGGTCATGACGCTGTAGATTACCAGCCCACATAGTAACATTAGACTTTGCATAACGGTAAAGCAGTTTTGCTTGGGAAAAATTCACAATGAAATTACAGGTTTTGCTGCTTCAAAAATAAAAAGGAAAAGTAAGTTTATGTTTTGCAAGTTAATTTATCAAGTTAAGGAGCAAAACAATGAATCTGATTCTTTTTCTTAGTCGATAGTTGATCCTGAGGTAGAGTACAAAAAATTTGGTATTTAGACGAGTTATTCGTATTGATGCCAAGAACCCTATTTTTGATAGAATGAATGACAAGAATAACTGAAACTAATGACTTTGCACAGCCTACCTAATAAATTTTCAAGTTCTACATAACCTTATGTTAGCCAAGTTTAAAGCAATACCGAAAAGATCGGATGAAAATTTTTCATTTGTTTATACACTTATACATCATTTAAGACATGTTTTTATTAAATTTGATGATGGATAGATGGAGAAATAACAGTTTTATCCAGAAACAAACGCTGCAATGAAGAAATCGTAAATAATGTATTGTTAGCTGTAGCTGAAAATCCGGAAATATCTGTTTGAAAAATAGAACGTGCAACCTTAACCGCGAAATCCACAGCTGGTTTTTGATCGGACGAAAGTATGGTAGCAAACAATGGAATTTTTTACATGGGAAATGCTGATTTGAAAGGTCTTCTAGCCTTTTGGTGGAATGGCAAACTATCTTCCGTTTCTTCCTATATCTTGGAGAAAGCAACCACCAAAAATATTAGATTTGAAGATTACATACACACGTCGTTTTATGGAATAAGCAATGGAAGACATCGCAGAAAATATAGCATTGTACACGACGCACGTAGCGATCGACGATTAGCGATACGGCGGGAACCTCATCAGGCACGGAATTCACTGATTACACGTAACATTGCTCGGTCAATCGAGGCACTTACTCTCAGGTGTCGAGACAAATTTGTATAATTTAAAATAATATTTTTATCTCACTCCTCAAACCTAATCGCATATAAATAAGAGAAATCGAAAACTGATGCTTATTAGTGCCGAATCCGTCATGGTGGCGACAAGTTGTTTAATTGCGTGCCTACTGGCCAGTGCGGTAAATGGTGCACGAATTTTGGGCATTTTTATGAACCCCAGCTACAGTCACCAGTCGTACTTTCAACCGATCTGGAAAGAGCTGTCGCTCAGAGGGCACGAGGTGACGATATACACCCCTAGACCTATTAACGACCCGAAATTGGTCAACCTCACAGAGTATAATATAAACCTTAGCGACGAGCTACACAGCAAGAAATTCGAATCCGAGAAGTCGAACGGGTATACCGACATCTTTCACAGACTGTTGAGGTATGCGGACGAGCAACTGAGTCACCCGGACGTCAAAGCTTTGATAGAGAATCGAGACAATAGAACGTACGACTTGTTGCTGGTGGAATTCCTCTTCCCGAGTTATTACGCGTTGAAAGACTTGTACAAAGTGCCCATGGTGGGGTTGGCTTCCCTGCCGCCGGTCATTCTCAACTCGGACATACTGGGAATAGAAAAACATCCCGCGTTAGATCCAGACATTATGCTCCCGTTTTCTTCGACTTCCGATTTGAAGCAGAGACTCATCAGTTGGATTTACAATTTTGGATTTCGGATGGTCAATAGGTTGTACGTGGAATACCACGTTAACCTGCAAGCGAAGAAGCATTTCGGCGAAAATACCAGGGATGTACGCGAATTGGGACGAGAAGTCAGCCTGGTTATCGCGGATACCAGCTTCGAATTGCACAACGTCAAGCCGGTTATACCAAGCTTGGTCCCCGTTTCTGGGTTGCATTTAAAGCCCCTCAAACCATTGCCTGATGTACGTATGTTTTTGTTATTTGCGGTTGCTCTTTTGGTTGCAATTAATTAGTTAATTAATTGAAGACAAATAAGATTTACAAAGGTTTGTTGTTTACTGGCATTTCATTATGTACATGTTAACTTCAAACTATCATATGGTATTGTAGCTTGGGGAGGTAATAATTGCGGAAGTAAAAAGGTAGAGGTAGCTAAATATACTTACCGATTTAATTTGTTTTGCATTATATAAGAAAAAAATGAGAGAACTTTATATTACTAGATCACCTGATCACTTGCGAGTTTCAAAGGATGGGTGGAGTCATAATATGAGAAGCTGCTACATATGGCTATTTAAATTTAGGATCACCCGTCGGACTCTATTAGACGGGTTACCAATAAAAGCAAATTCAAAAATCAATAATCAATATTATTGTTGAGTAAGACAATATAATAGTATTTAACTAAAAGAATGATTGAATGCTGAGGATGTGTCAATATTATTGTGGATTTGATTAAATATTAGCTGAAACAGGAGCAAATTATCTCTACATTTAGCCTAACCGAATGTTTCAACTTTGTCCAGCGCTTGAACTTGGAATATTTGTTTCCGATAGGTGCTTAGCACAATGTGAGAAATATGGCTTTTAATTTATTGGAAATCTGGTTTTTGAAGGATAAAACGACTCTATTGACCGCATAATTTGCCGCTTTGCCGAAAAACTAGCAGTATCTTGGATATTTTTTTTCAACTATCTTTCTTTCTTGATTTTGCAAAAAATGTACGTGTCTAACATCATATTTGTTACCTAGCTAGCTAATCCTAAAATTAATAGTAAGTTTTATGAAATGTAACAACCTATTCAACTAAACATGCTGACAATGTTTTAAATGAATCATGTGTTATACTGTTAAAATTGCAATAATAATAGAGATAAAATTTAATAAGATTTCCATTAAAAATACTACGTTTTTTTCTTATTTCAAAAATGACATGACAAAATTTCCTAAAATTATTGTGTTTTGATATCTAGTGATTGCTATCAAATCTTGAAAAACTGAAAACGGTTCGAAGTACAACTATACTAAACATAAAATAAAACTCACACTGTATACGTAATGACCATGAATACAATTGTAAATCGAATTCAAATTGAACATTTTGTCAAAGGGTTTTTAATTGCTCCCCAGAATAAAATTAGAATATAGGGTGAAATATCAGATTTCAAAGATGGATGTTCGTAAACATTTTATTGGAGCCGTGTGAACAAAAAATAAACAAATGTGTTAATTTTTCGTGAAGCACCACAACTTTATAAAATAGGTAGAAAGCAATTCAGTTGCGAAAAATGCTATTATATACCACATAAATCTAACATTTAGTATGAATCACCCTATACATTTTTGGACTGTCTTATATGTATAGGTAATATACCAAAAAAATTATTGTGTTACATTCTCGTGAGAGATTACTTAATATAATTCGAATCCTATCTCTCTTATAACTTGCCGAAAAAATACGTGTTTAGCTATTTTCGAAAGCACTCTTAACTTTTTTTTAAAGAAAAACTGCTGCACAACAATTAAATTGCTAATCTATTAAATGGGAGTTTTGCAGCCGCGTATTATAAAGGGCGTCCAAGCACCCATTGTCTTTTTTTCCGGAACCTATTTTATTAAATATCTTTGTATATACAGGGTGTTTTCTAATTTTAAAGATACAAGGTGGGAAAGTTTTCAAATATAAACAACCACATTTTTTTTAAATTCACCAGTGACGGGCGTATGGAATTTCGCCTATCTCTTTTGGTAGACATTGATAAGCCACTGATTTCTATTAAAATAAAAATTATTCTTACAATCTCCAATCATTTCTAAAGAAATTTAATTTCTTGATTTTTTTCAAAACCAAAGTATTGTATTGAAAAAATCAAGAAATTTAAAAATCAAAACCTCTTTCTGCATGGTCATTACAATATCGTTAAAATGACAGCATGCAGAGAATTATTATCGTTATTATTTCTTACTTAAGTAATTGATCTGTTTTATCAAAATATTTCAAAAAATCAAATTTCGAATACGAAGTACGTAAATTGAAATAAATAAAATAAATTTAAATAAGAGTCTTCTAATTTTTTTTCTGAATAATACTATGTGGTAACTAAATAGGAGATTTGTTTTTTCACATGGATTATTTTATTTTTCACAAAAAAAAGTTCTAAATTTAACCAGCGCAGCGGCGGACTAATTAACCAAAATGTTCATTGTTCATAGTCAGTGGCACGAAAAAATTACATTTGCATTCATTTGTGAACAGATTTGATTTGTTAGTCCGTCGCATCGTTTTTACTTAAAAATAAAAACTAATTTCTTTGCATGCTGTCATTTTCGTTTGCTTGCGTTATTTTTGTCACAAAATTTTAAATCATAATAGTGGGTTAATTTTTTTTTCAGTTACAGAAATTATATTTAGCAATATCGAAAGAAACCCACGCTGAAAGAAATAAAGTAGGTATATAATTATGGGCACTATAATTATCCAAATCTTATATAAATACAGACACCAACATTAAAAAAAATGGAAAATTAGACGCGTTAAAACGCAATTATAAAGTCGATTATTGTTAGAAAAAGTATTATATATAAGAAAAATATTTTTTGGTTTGTATTTTTAAAAATTTGTCGTACTTTCGAACGACGGTACAAATATACAGAGTGCGTCGGTAATTTACTTATTACGATAATTGACCATAACTAGAAGGCTGTGGTTTAGCTGCAATTTTCTTTTACGCGACCATAGGGTCCGTATGGACTGCTAAAACTTTTGTATTTTAGGTTTTCACATATTGTGCAGGGTGTTCAGGATATTCTGTCATAGGTGACTCAAATATGTTGCAATCGTATTCAAATTTAGCTAGGAAAAAATTGCCCGTAGTGATACCTAAACAGTATAAATTGAGCACAATCAAATGTCACCAAATATTAAAAAAAAAATGAAAATTTTTCTTTTATTATTTTGGCTTACAGAAAAACCTGATTTTTTCAAAAAGAAATGCTAGAGATCCTTAGCTATAAATTCCATTTAATTATGGACAAAAATCTAAAAGACTGTGAAAATTGTACTTTTCGGGAATAAATTCCTAACCGGACCAAACACGATTATAGGCCCTACTAAGAGCTGCAATTTTTGTATTTAGGATTTTCGTCTAACGCATACGCTGTTCGAGATATCTTCAAAAATCCAAATTAAAATCACCATTCATCGCCCTCAATCTAGATGCGATGACATCATTTACCATTAACCACGTACTGCGTGGTTTCAGACAACAAGTACATTCTTGAAAACCACTTACTCTAGTGGAAAAAATCATATGCCAGGAAACATGGGAGATCCAGGGCTATAACCTCTATTTCGAACATTGTTCGAATTATACACAGGGTGTGTCGTTTATGGGCAAAAAATCTAACACATCCTAAAACTTTCCGTTTTTGTGGTTAAATTATTGAGGATAAATGAAAAGCCACGATTTTTCGAAAGCAATCTTGTTTATTTCAGGACCTGGAAGCAATACTAAACTCTTCTGACCAAGTCATCTACTTCAGTTTCGGGACGAACGTGCGAACTGCTGAGATACCCAAAAGGATCGTCGACGTGGTCCTCCACGCGATCCAACAATTGCCGTACACGGTGCTGTGGAAATACGACGGCGACGAGCTCCCGCAAAACATATCGTCAAATGTCCACATCCGGAAGTGGTTCCCGCAGCAAGATGTGTTGGCTCATCCCAAAGTCAAACTCTTCGTGACTCAGGGAGGACTGCAGTCGATCGAGGAGGCCGTATATTATCAAGTGCCCCTGTTGGTGGTGCCGTTCTATTCGGACCAGAAATACAATGCTCATCGACTGACGAGCCTAGGCGTTGCGGAAACTGCACTTCCACACACGTCTACGAAAGAGGAAATATCCTCCAAAATTAAGAAGATATTAGGCAATCCAAAGTAAGCGTTAGTTTTAATTTTATAGAAGAGGATGTAGTGTTATATAGTATCTTCTGAGTAGTTTACAGTTTTAAGGCAGTTCTCTAATATTAAGGTCCATCTTACCCATCCTTATGGCAGCGTATACCTATCCCCCGTTGCCTGGCTTCATTTCGAGCGAGCTTCCATTCGTTACGTCTCCCTCGCTTAGAAGAGGAAATACATTACCCTTTCATCGGAAATTTAGTACCGTGGATTCAATGAATTGAGCCCTTCGTATCGTTGATTGTCTGTTGTTGCTTAAGAAGAAGAATGCGAGTTTCTTGCTCTTTTAAACACAGCTTACATGAGCTGTCGTGGACAACAGTCAACATACTTTTTAGATGCCAGGGTTCCCATTAGTGTTCATAGGGACGCTGAGAGCTCAATTATGATTCTACGACGTTGAGGGCCCTATATTAGGGCTCTCGACTACCTCTGTTCATGACGACTATCCCAGTGAAGATGAAGCTTTCTGCCAAAACTTTCCTATTTTCTATTCCATTGGTAGATGACTGAGTTTAAGAGTCTTTTTAAAAATGTATCCAGAGAACGCTGACAGAATTACATTTCGTCCAGTCTTTCTGCAGAAACAGTTTCGTGAGAATCTATTAAGGCTTTAACGACTACATGAATATCGCTTAGACCTTGAAATACACCCAAAAACAAAAACAGCTGCTATGCTCCTTATTTTTGTTTTAGGGTTTCACATTTTCCTTTTTTATTCTATTCTTACTCTCCTTCTACTCCTCACTTCTGTTTCTGAAATCGAAATGGGACAAGCGCATCCTAAAACGCATTTTTTATTATTTTTATTATGACATTTTTTGATTTATTCCCCCAACTATTCAAAAACCAAAATCTAAAGATCGCAAATGAAAATTGTTGCTATAGTTTGCACCAACTTTTAATCATTGTATTTTTCCGATGGTAGCTAGATGCATTTAGTAAAAATAACTGTCTCTATTTACTTAGGTACTTTTAGTTTTAGTTATTTTTATTTTGTGAATATTGGCTGTCAACGCATAAAAAGTTTCATTGGTTCATACTTTACAACTCAAAAATACAGTATCCCTGTATTCATAATAATTCAAAATGAATATCACGTTAAGAGCGTATCATGGTAGATCTTTGTTTTAAGTCAGTGACGTCACAACTTGGTAAAAGAGGTTTGTTTATAAATTTTCAATTAAAAAATATTGACTTGAAACGCATTAAATTAAAATTATTGAATTTTCAGATACAAAGAAAATATGGAACACATTTCTTCGATATTCTTGGACGAGCCTATGAAACCTATAGACAAAGCGATATGGTGGATCGAGTACGTGCTCAGGCATAAGGGCGCCGAGCATTTAAAATATGGCGCTGTCGGAATGCCGTTTTACCAGTACTATATGCTCGACGTGTACGCGACGTTGATCTTAGCCGTTGTGGTACTATACCACATATGCAGAAGGATCTACAGATTGCTCTTCAGGAACGCGATATATCCGTTAATTGGATTAGTATACAGGTTAATTTTCAAAAGGACGCTCTCTGAGACTGAAAAGAAACACCAATGAGAATTAGGTTGTTTATTTATTTAATTATTTATTTTTATATAAGCGCTCATACATTATTTTCTATGTAGATATCTCAATATTATACTAAATCTATTATAATAACTTTTAAGGCCTCATTTTGTGGGGTTGTTTATACGACTGTATAATGGAATATATTTATTTACAAATCTAAGTTGCGGTGCTTTATTTCATACATAGAAAATAACTGATCAAAACTGTTAAATAACGCGTTACGCGAAAAAAATAACCAAGGACGACTAACAAATAAGGATAATTGCGTCGTGATAACTGCACTCGTCCCTAAGCAGTAAATCATAACTGAGTACCAAAGATTTTGGCATTAGCCCATGCGAGAAACCGATATATTTTTTTCGAAGGAAATAGGTGATGTCACAGCTCGCTGTAATCTAACATTAATAAATCATGGATGGTGGTTTACAGTTCGTGCTGCAGAGCTAAGTGATTTCAATATTCTTCGTCTGTGACTGGTATGAAGTTAACCTTAAATTAGTCATAGGTAGTTTTGTTTTATCTTAAGACGATAGCAAGCAAAAAACGATAGTTACAGTAATATGCGGGAGAAACGATTTTGATTATTTTATGTTAATGAACACAGTTCAAAAATTAGTTAAACCTGGTACATAGGTTGGACAGATAACTTGCTTTTTAAAAATAAATTTTCCGATGGTTGAATGGCCTCGGCACAATAGGACATTTCCGAGTATCCTGATTAACGGGCCCATGTTGAATGAAACGAAGAAGAAAAAGTGGCCTGTGATCTTTGGTGCAATTAGGTCTGTGCTGTTGAGTGGATTTCATTGGCGCTTCTATGGTTTGTTTACAGTACTTTTGAAGTTGTTTCTATTTGTAAAGTTAACACAATGCCGTATGCCAATCAACCGTCTGTTCATATTACCGATCTTACAGACGACAATGTAAAATTTTATGTGGAAGATACGGATTTAAGGTAACCGGGTAGGTTCTATTTTTAACATTAATTTCAAATCATTCTTTTCTTAAAGCGTGGCAAACAGTATTCGCCGAGTTCTGATAGCCGAAACTCCAACTTTAGCCATTGATTGGGTGAAACTTGAAGCCAACTCTACAGTTTTGAGCGATGAATTTTTAGCCCACCGAATAGGACTCATTCCACTGATATCTGATGAAGTTGTTCAGAGGTTGCAGTATCCTAGGGTAAGTGGTTAATAGCATCCGTTATTTATTATAGACTAAACGACTTCGTTCTAGGACTGTATTTGTACAGACTTTTGCCAGGAATGTAGTGTAGAATTTACTTTAGATGTTAAATGTATAGATGATCAGACCCGCCATGTAACAACAGCGGATCTAAAATCGAGTGACCCGCGTGTAATTCCGGCTACTTCCAAACATAGAGATGACGAGTCTTCCGAATATGGGGAGACCGACGAAATTCTTATTGTAAAACTGAGAAAAGGGCAGGAATTGAAAATTAGGGCCTACGCAAAGAAGGGGTTTGGAAAAGAACACGCAAAGTGGAATCCCACTTGTGGAGTAGCTTTCGAATATGACCCGGACAATGCAATGAGGCACACATTGTTTCCAAAGCCAGATGAGTGGCCGAAAAGTGAATACACAGAACTGGATGAAGATCAATGTGAGTTAATCGAATTCAGCCTTTAAAATTGTGAGGTATTGTTTTTCAACCCTTTTTATTTTTCAGATGAAGCACCATATAACTGGGAGTTGAAACCAAATAAATTTTACTACAATGTCGAAGCTGCAGGTCAATTAAGACCGGAAAACATTGTTATTATGGGCGTAGCAATGTTAAAAGAGAAACTGTCGAATTTGCAAACCCAGCTCAGCCATGAGCTACAAAATGATGCACTTGCTATTGCTTGAGTCATACATTTTGTCCTTTTTATATTTTATATTATATAGAGTATAGAGTAAGCAAATGTAATTCTGAAAAGTGTTTCTGGTTTTGATTTATGTCCTTGGAAATGTTTCTGATGTTTCACAAATTGGGATTCCACGTAATACGTAATAAGAGCCGTCTTATTTTTTTTTTGTAAATTATAGCAAATTTAAAATTTCATAGTTTTTACATTTCTGTAACTAATTATTTTAGAATAAAGATTAGAAAAAGTACAAGTTGAATGATGACCCTCACTGCCTCCGCGATATCTCTACTTTAAGGTTAGGCAAAGTTAGTTTCATTTTCTTTAATAATACTTTCATAACTTTACTGCATATAATGGACGTTAGTTGTAAACAAATTATTCAACAAACAATTTTCTTAAAAAGCAAACACAACAAAAAATGGGAATCAACTAAACTCGAAATTGTCAAATGTCCATTGTTAACAATTAAAGAATTTGGTTAATTGTTTTTTCTACTCCCGTCTATAAAATACCTAATTACGCACCGATCTAGCGTGCGGGAAGCGTCGCTTTACCACGTCAGTTTCGTTTCCCACGGATCCGAGCCACTTGAAAGACTTTGGAGTTGATGAGCTACTTTACAATTTTATTGTTGTTTTTCTGGAACAAAAAACTTACATTCTTCTGTTCTGTGACTGTGGTTGCTCAGAAGACAATTGTAGATTTATACCTTCTGTCCAGCGCCTGCACCCAAACTATGAAAACAAAACACGTATTTGTATACAGTGTCGTAGTACATGTTAAGATTTTCTGAAAATATTATTGATTAATTTGTTTGTGAAACGTACCAGGATATGGGCGATTATTAACTTAAATTATTTAAAATTTTGTGTAGAATTCTTAATAAAATTCAAGCGACATGTTGGAGTATAAAATAATTTCCCCTTAAGTGATGTTTTCGTTGTTTTATATGGAAGAGCACAAATTTTTATTGTATATGTATATTATATCGCATTCTAAATACAGTCTTAACGACTTTAAACAAGTAGGCTTTGGACATCACGTACCTAAAACAGAATACAAATGCGTACTGACAGTTGTCAAATTGTGATTTTGGCTGTTGGAGGTGTTTTCAACATTCACGTTTTACCTTATTTGAGTGTTCAACGTACGTGAAGAACTTTTCGAGGTCGCAATGCTTTTAGATGAAGAAAGGTTCAGTTGAGAAATGCATGTGTAAGGTATGGAAATTGACATTTACGATATTACATGTAATTGGTACTTAGAAACCCAAAAATTAGTAGTTTAGAGCCCGTTAAAAATATACGCATCTTCCATACTAAAATGTACGTTAAATTTTGTTAATGGTAATTTGTCGCAGATTGAGAATGGGTTCGAGTAAAACAACGATTTAGCTTAATAATGTTTTATTGAATCAGACAGATACGCTAAGCGCAATAAGTTTACAATATACATCCAGAAAGAAAAAACATAAAGGTATCACATGAAATTAGGCAGAAATTATTCGAAAGCGTACTTTACAATAATTTCTAATTTATGTACAGGTTTGTTATAATATGTTTTGCCTAAACATTAACACCGTTATTGATATTTTTAGCTTAACCTTTCTAGTTTACAACTTTACAATAATAATTACAAAGTCCATTTATAGGAATTTCATTATCTGGCTATTCGTTGACATGTTTTTCTGTTTTTTTTACAACACCGAGAAGTATCCGACATTTTTCACATGCTCTTGCTCATAGTTATTGATAATATTTCCGATTTACATTTGTTATTTATGTTTAGATCAGTTAAGACCTACAGGAGCCAACGAAATTTAAAAAAAATTGAAGATGTTATATAAATAAAGTTGGGCTACATTTTGAATAGCACTTATGAATTTATAATAAGTAAGATCAACTTTCTTATTCTAAATGAAAAACCCTGTGTACTTTCCATTTTTGTAACTAACCATAACTATTGGAGATAATAATAGGGTTCAAAAATTTCAATTTTCCTTAGACAATTTAAATAGGAAAAAAACGTTTTAATAAAATAAGACTATTTTTTATAAATAACCAAATGTGTGTTCTATCTGTCTTTTTCTTTTTTTAAAATATGCTTTTTATTATTTAAATTAACTGTAAGTATTACCCTATTATCTCCAAAACTATTAGAACTATCGAAGACGATAAAAAGAACATGTTCTACTTGAATTTACCGGTAGAATACAAAAACGAAAAAATATACAACGTCCAAATATAGCCGTACTGTATTTATATATTATATCGCTGAATTTGAAATTTACACATTTTTTTAGTTATCGCTCGACTAATAATTTCGTTGACACCCGGTATACTTAATCTGACGTAAGATTGTAAACTCTGTATATATAGATTTTTAAACGACAATCTTTAAACGACATATTTCGTAGTTGTAGCTCTTGAAGCCGTTTTAGAGTAATACAGGGGTTTCACAATTCGGTATCATGATTTTAGGGACATATTTTTCATAAATTTTAAGTTCCTTTGGGCTCGCGAACCTTTTATGCCTACAGAGTGTTAAAGTGTCAAGATTCATGGTTAAATAGTTACGGAAATGGAAAAATAAATGAATGAAAATTAATATATATACACATAAAAATGATACAAAATATTACCAATGACTACTTGGTAGCAGTTACGGCTCTACATTTTTGCCACGCATTTTAATTGTTTTCCGCGATAAGGGTCGCAGGTGCGTATATGCGATCAAGAAGTTTCTAAGTACAACCGAAGGCTCATTTTTTATTTTAAAATATACCAGGGGCGCACCGCAGAAAAGTATAGGTTTTCACGTAAAAAATGCTGAACTATGAAATATATTTAGTGACATGTTCGTGATTTTATCTTATTATTGTTTATCATTTACCTTAAGGCTTTGGAATATTGGCATTTAGTGTCCTCTCGCTCTAGGCAGTTGAGCGACCTGAACGTTCTTCAAAAACATGCCAGCAGAACAGCTGCTCTGTTTTGAGGTAACTTGCCTGAAAGATCGCATCTTGTGAAAAGTGAATTTTAGGGAAATTAAAAATATTAAGGTAGAAATTAATTATCTTGCGGAATTTTAAATAATATTTGAAAAAATTAAGTTTTGACGATTTTCAGGATCGTTAATTTTAAGCGACCCCGTACGCCATAGAATACATTTATCTGGATAAGTCTAATTATGCGGAGCTTTCTTAAACTACAACTGAAATTTCAGCTTCCTGTGGAGAAAGCAGTGAATCTAAAAATATAATAAAATATATGATAAGATAACCATGTTGCTGTATGTTCTTGTTAGAGCCGGCAATCTTGCTATAAAGCAGACCCGAAACCGTAAACATTGGATTAGATTCGATTTGACAGATATGTAGAAAATGTTATTTAATAATGTAATATGGCAATATAAGTAAATAATTAATAATTTCCTATTTAACATTAACCTAAATAATGATTCCTAAATAAAATTATTTTTCTTACTTTAGTTTGCATGATGCAGCTTGACAGAATTGACATATGTTGATTGATGGTATACATTTTGTAATTTATAGTATCTGATTGTAAATTGAGCGAACTGTGGTAGTTTCAGAGTTATTCGCATATATATTTACCTACTACTTCCGTCAGATATGTATCGATAATACGTATACATTAGCTTATAAGTTGGGTAGTTCCCATTTAATCACACGGTAAAGAACTTAAAACAGCTTCAAAATATCGCCCATTTGAGCATCATTCTATAAAAACTGTACTCATAGTATCTCTAGATGAGATCTTGCATACAAAAATGCTACTACTAAACCACCCGAACTTAACACGAATGTCGATAGATTTGGCAACCCTGGAATCTAAAAGTTATTTAATGTATAGATTTACAGGATTGGTCAAAAACGATATCGATTTTATGTTTATTCGATTAAAGTTGAACTGTGAGTGCGAATTTCTTAGTTCTTTGATTCGAAATATGCCTGTTGTTATAAATTAGCCTTAATATTAATTACCACATTACTGAACACAAATATTATCAAAAAAACAAATAAAATTTTTTTTGTAACAAAACGGGTTACCCGGTACTGAACATTATGAATCCAGTTTGCCGAAACCCAAATGAAATTCTAGACGTTAAAATTAATAAATATCAAAACGACGGGTTCGCGTAATAAATGACTGCCCATTTTTATTATACTATTATTTTCAACGGTCGTAAAACTTAATTGAACTCAAAATTTATTCGGACCATGTCATAATAACTATCTAGTCTAATAACAAACAAGTGTTGGTGCTCCACCAATTTAACAACTGTTTTAAAAGTCAAATACTAAAAAATTATATTTGAAAGATGATCACCCTGTATTTATTTATTTTTGAACCATCAATAGAAACCATTGCAGTAAAAGAAAATCAGTCTCAAATATACGGGGTGCTAACCTCTCAAAATTTTTTGCGCAAAACAGTAGTAGAGTAGCAGCAGCAATTTCACAAAAATATCACCCTCTATTTTAAAAATTGCCACGTTTTTGAACAATAGAATAATTACAGCACGAAACCTAAGCTAACACAATTCTAATGAGAAAGAACAAAATAAGAAGAAAAGGCTGAAATTTATAATTACAGTCAATTATTCAAAGTCAAGTCGAGCAATGTATTTGGAGCACATTGAAAAAGTAGGTGAAAATTTTAAAATATTTCTTGGTTTGGGCAGAAAGAATGTGTTACTATGTCTAGAGTTTGTGGTCTATGTTATACATACAATCAAGCAAGTTGTAGTAACAAAATTTTAAATAGTCATTAAATAAAGGCAATCATGACCGATCACTATGAGACACATAAGCAATCATAATATTATTCCGGGCTATTGATGTGACAGTTGCGTCCAGGAGACCAAATTAATGATGCATATTCTAACTATTAGTTATATTTTTATTACTTCTGTATTGCTAAAATCTCTAGTGCAACGTCAAATAAATCCAGAGCCAGGATAGTTTCGAGTCGAATATTACTACCAAGTCACAAAAAACTACACCCATGGCGGTAAAAGACACTGCATCGCACTTGGCTGTATTATGGCAAGCATTATTTAACAACCGATTATTGATTTGCTCCAAACTACGTAGGAGAGTGAGAAAAATCTCTAAATACTGGATTAAAAAAAAACATCATCAGCATAAAACGGAAAAATGTCAGAAAATATTGAATTATGAAAATAATTAAGATTCACTCTTTAAAGTATTTAATTAACGCTCTGCTTATGAAATATGCGAGGATTTCAAAAATATCATAAAATACAGAATGTTCTATTTAAAACAAGACAATTGTCAGTTGAAAGAAAGTACAACTTTTATCTCTAAGTTGTTTGATACTTTTATATTTTATGAGACAATTAACGAGCCAGCCTGTACAGGGAGGTCTCGACAGGAAAAACCTATTTCTGAACTAGATAGAGCAAAATCGGCAAGGGGCTCGATTTTTGAAACACAAATAATTGTTAAAACCGCATGATGATATCTTCACTACCACGCAAGATATAGGGCGTTTTTCAATTTTCGACCCTTTTGCAAACAACTTTCTTATTTTATATAGTAATCATAGTGTTCTATGGTTTTTAAAAAATGCCCGTGTCAGATATTTGTTGGTATCTGTGATGTAGGGCACTTTTTGTTTATGTTGAGTAGTAAATCAGTTAAGGACATTATTTTAGATATGATAATACATATTCAGAGCGGCAATAATCAAAGAAGCGAATATTTATGACCAGTTAAACCACTTAATAAGGAATAATTAGACAAGTATGGGAGTTTTAATCTTAATCCTGAAGATGCCAACTTGGTTGGCGAAACGCGCGTCAATTACGTAAAATTGAGTTTCGGTTTCTGGTAAAACGCACTGCCGAAGGATCCAGCCAAGAGTTTGATAAGTATGAGAAGTATTGACACAACAAATGCTAAAAAAACTAAAGTTTTGATTACATTAAGAAAACATGAATTTCAGCTGTACCTTACCAGAAAAGTCCACCAATGACGTGGAGGGTATGTCTGCAAAAGAATACAGTTTTGCAACAGATTTATCGGAAAATGCAATCAGAACAATAAATTTCCATTGTGTATTGTTTGGTGCGATGAAGCGAGAATTCACTGTTCCGGAATATTTAACAGAAACAGTTATTTATTATCATGTTGTAGTGTATTAAAATCGGCAAGGTCGCTTTGGATTCAATGTTAACGAAAATCTGACAGCCGTTCGTTATACAAATATTTTGCGAACACGTGTTGTTCCATTTTTGGAAGAATTTGCCATTGGAAGGAGTATTTGTTATCAGGAAGGTTAAATTTAAAAATTTTGAAATAATTTATTTGGGCAGTATGTTGTTCAAGAAAAGGCAGAACGGGCCAAAAATCAGGAAAGCAGCGAGTGCGACGTGGTACCCTTTTTTAAAATTTACCATACACAATTAAAATATTTTTTTTTGCCTAAATTAGTTAAAATAAGCACATTTGCCAAAAAAATTACGGATTTTTTTTGTATTTTATGTGCATTTAGGGGCTAATATCAAACGTTACTGTTGGTGTTCCATCTATTTTTATACATTACATAGTTTAGAAACCGCAGATGTTTTTCCAGGCTATTAATGTGACAATTGTAACTACGCAACTATGCAACTATGACTTGTCCTATGAGTTATGTCATATTTTTTATTAATTCCGTATTGTTAAAGTTTCTAGCACAGCTTATCGTACGCATAGTTTTTTGAAGCATGTTAACATGAGAACAAAGGATAATTTCGAATATTACTCCGGTCACAAAAAGCTACACCCATGGCGGTAAACGCTGCATTGCACTTGCCTGTATTAAGCTGCAAGCATTATTTAGAGAGCATTGTTGATTTGCTCCAAACTACGCCGGAGAGTGAGGAAATTCTCCAAACACTGGATTTAAAAAAAAAACGCAGTCCGCTAATAACAGAAAACTTGACACCAACTTGACAATGAAAACGTTGAATTTCAATATTAGTCGGAGATTCACCCTTTGAAGTTCGTACAAGTACTTAATTGTATATGAAATATGTCTGAATGTTCAGTGGATTTCAAAAATGCCATAATATACAAAATGTTGTATTTAAAACAAGTCTACAAAAATGAAAGCACGACTTTTATCTCTAAGTTTTTTGATATTTCATATAGGTTCTCTGATAGTAAACGGGCCACCCTGTACATATAAATCCAGCTTCGACTATTAAAAGCAATCTCTAAACGTTGAAATGAACGGTCACATGGATATCAAAACGACAGGTTATTATTATTTTTTACGGTAGTAAAACTTAATTGAGCCCGAAATTTATTCAGTCTATATCATAATGACTAGTCTAATAACAACGTTACTGTTGGTGTTCCATCGATTTTACAAAAGGTTAAACGGGCCGGCGGAAAAACAATGAAGGATCGCAGCTGCCAATTGTGGAAGCCACCATCTGGCGACGCTGACGCAGCCTGAAACAAAAACATTTTTATAGTGTTACAAACTTTTGCGAACTTTGCAATACTGTTTTGAAGCGACGGACGCCGCCTGGCGGCCGGCCTCGGCGTACGCCGTTATTACGATGATGTAGCGCTTGTTTTTAGTTTATCAGATTGCGGCGTTTCGAGTTTTCGTTCAAATGGTCACTCGTCGTGATAAATTAAAACGGAAGTTTTAATTTGACATACGAGTTGTACGCTATCCGGGGTACCTCAGGTTTCTACTCTAGGGCCGTTATTTTATAAATGAGTAGTCTACTTTTGTTAAATGCAAAGGAAAAATTATTATTAACGTCTATTCAGAAGAAAAACGTTTGCAAAATATCCTGGACAACGGAAACGTGGAGTGACGTTATCTTCAGCGATGAATCAAAATTTGATGTGTGTGTAGGCGATTTTCGGATTCGTACAAAACCAGAAGCCTTTCACAAAGATTGTCTAAAGCGCACGGTAAAATTTCCCCATGATATGGGGGTGTATGAGTCGTAAACGGGTTGGCAACTACAACAAGGATGGTACTGTAAATGCAGAAAAATACCAACAAATTTTATCAAGAAGTTTGATTCCATCAATAGAACGAACTTTTCGAAATGAAACAACAAAAAAGTGGTTTGGGGACCATAATATGAAAGTTTTATCGTGGCCATCAAGTAGCCCCGACTTGAATATTATTGAAACTTTATGTCATCGGATAAAAAAGACTTTGCGTAACAATCCTCAGCGTACAGTTCCAGCATTAAAGGCAAAAATCACCGAAATTTGGAACACTTTCATGCCAAAACGCATAAAACTGTTATTGCCGCGAAAGCTGATGTTACTTCTTATTAATGTTCGATTTAAAGTAAAAGATTTAAATGCGTCCGAATATTTATTTGTCAGCAAATTCGGTATGTTTTTGATATTTTGTTATGTAATTTATGTGAAATAAAAAAATAATTCATTACGATTGCTCTTTTTGGTATAAAAATAAGTGCGTGATTTCAAATTTCAATCGAAAAAGCAAAAAAAATCAATTTAAAATAAGTATAAATATATTTTCTTATTATTTCGTACATCGTCCGAACAATTAGTTGTTCGGGCTCGTATAGTACGCTTCGGGGACAGTTCTGTGCTCTGTTTCTTAATGAGACCTGTAAATCGTGATTGAACCGCAAAACTCAGTGGTCTTAGTATTGGTAGGCTTAGTATTATAATGTAGTATTATAAGTATTATAATAAAAACAAAAGTCTAGCAGATTTTCCCCCTTCTCTGCCGTAGTAGTTTAGCCTCCATCCGGTTAAGACATTTTTTCTTTATTGGCCACGTTTCTGTCCCATGTAGTAAGACCAGTCTCATGTAGGCACTTGATTTTTGAAGAAGGATAGTTTTAAGTTTAGAAAATGTGGTTTTGATCATACAAATTCATATTTCGTCACAATTGCAAGATATCTAAACTTTTTCCTTACTTTCCTGAACTTTATTATCCAAAGCAAGATGCAATATCATTTCGACGTAGATATTAAACACTAATGGTGTAAGGATACTTCCACCTTCCATACATTAAATTATTTAGTTGCAGTTCAATTTATAATTTTAGCTTTTGCTGAAGTATGTAATTATCTGTCTGGCAGGATGTAGTGAAGAGAATTTTTTACTCAGCGTGTTGGCGCTTTGGCTACAGCCTTGGCCGTTTACCGCATCCCCACCTCCACGTGTCTCGATCGCTGTACATATCCTCTGTGAGACTTTTTTGCATTGTTTCATCAATTCCTGCTTTTCCGTGTTATGCCTCTTTTCATTCTTTGTAGTGACCACCACTCATAATTTTCTTTGGGTAAAGTCTGTTCATAGATATAAGAAAGTTTCTAACTGATATGAATTAAGAAAAGACCCGGGCAAGCTGTAAGAATGAAATATGGCCAAACAGGTCCGTACTTTGCGTATAATTTAATTATTTGGGGTTTTGTTAAGAAAGATACTTAACAATATTTATTTATTTATGTATGTATTTATGTTTAAATCTAAAATAAAATTATAAATTACTTTAATTACCTAATTAAATTACTTAAAATTATTCACATAATACATCAGTATCACTATCGCTATCATCGCCTGTTCTAATTATTATTTGTTCTATATTATTTGCAATATGGATATTCGATTTTTCTGCTTTTTCTATATGTTTAACAGAATTTGCCCAACTTTGTGGATGGATGTTAAAAACTTCGGTTTCTATAAGTTTAAGGACATTGGAGTTAACACGGGGAAAAACATTGTTACGACGAATGGCAGATTTCAGTTGGTGCAAAACATGTTCAATGGGATTAAATATACAGTGGTAAGATTTAAGCGTTAAAACTGTATGCCCTAGATTCATAGATTCATAATTATCACAGATATATTCCTTTTGTAAAATAGTTATTCTTTTGCCTCTTTTTGATCACTTTCATCCACACTCGAGAAAATGTCAGCATCGCTTCTTTTTTTCCTCGCTGAAATGGGATTATTCACAATTTTCCATACATTTGATGTTGGAATTTTCGTCAATGTGGTCGTTTCTTCTAAAGATGCTTGCTTGCTGACAGCACGTTCAATGAGAGTGAAATAAAAATTGTTTATAACTTCCTTAGTCTCAATAGAATAGTCTTTTCTACATTTGAGCGGGAGCATCTTTGCATTTTGCACAATTCGCACACGATTCAACAAACGCTGTATTACACACGAAATAAGAATGATTACTAATAAACTTAAAGTAAGTAGTATACTAAACCAAAGAATAATAAACACAGGTTGCTATAAAATTATTTTCTATTACGGACCACAATTTTATCTGAATTTAAATTCCGAAACTTTGCATTGTATGTTAATGACCACCCTTGGATAATCCCATTCAAAAGCAATTGGCCACTTTCTTATATCTATGAACAGACCATACCATTTCACCACGCTCTCTTCGTATGAAAATATTGGTTATGCTCAATCTGCTGGGGAACTCAAGTTACTGCCGGAACAATTTTTGAAAAGATTTAGCGATTTCAAAAACTTGGAAAACCGTTTCACCACTAAAACAAAATGCCATAAGGCACTTACAAATGGAGATGACCGAGATTCACGAAAACTCACTCATAAATTCTAAAGCTAAATTTGATGAAGTGTCGTTGTGCGATTTCTACAAAAAAATACCTCCAAGCAGACTATTTTGTGCAGGTTAGAAAATTCGCATGCCCGTGTGACAATTCTTATCAATACAGTTCAGATGACAATTTGGAAAATTCTTTACATCTTTGTATTTGTGGAATCAATGCAAACACAGATGTATGAGTTTTCCAAATTCAAGCTCAAGTGTCTCAATGATTTCGGTGTCGCAATTTAACTTACTAATAGTTTCAAATTTTAGAATTTATTTATAACGTTGAACCTATTTTTTTCATTTAACTGTGTTCTTTTAATAAATTGTTTCATAATAACAACGTCGTATTTTTTCACGTCTGATATCTATCGTTAAAAGTTATAAATACTACTTTAAAACACTACTTCTAAACACGTTTGGCGCACAGATTGCCCATACCTGTGTTAAATGTATTTTAATCAAAAAAGGTTCAGTTCAAAAAAAGAAATGCCCACATTGGACAAAATAATTTCTGAAATGAACGCGTGAGAATAAATTGTGGAAAACTTTGAAGGAAATGAGATTCGTTTTAGAAGTTAGAAGAGTTTTAGGAGAGAAAGACGAAAGACAGATTTCATAGATATAAACAATCAAAAAATCCTAACAATGGCTCAGGTCTTTATCTTCCACCAATATGGGAATCAGAGATCCGAGACAACGTTCATGCCCCTCATTTAGCTCCGCCCCCCTCAAACAATATATAAGTAGGTACAGAGCAAAATGCGAGCCAGTTTCAAAAACGACGCGGGATTAATCCGGAATATTTGTAGCCTGTGGAAGTTTCTTTGAAAGATTATTGAAGATGGTATCGTTAATTGTTTAGAAGTTAATTGATTAATGATGGCACAAAATACAACTCTTAGATGACAGCCCACTAAATTGTATTCCAAAATGACTTTTTTCCGACGTTTCATTTTACTTTTTTAATTGGAAGCTTTATTATATTTATTAAAGATAAGTCCCGTTCATTAATTGTAAAAAAGTAAATAATATATGCAGAAACTGTGTTTTTAAAATAGTAATACTTCCGTAACTTTTTACTTTTTAAGATCAAAAACCAAAACATTATTTTTTTGCTATATTTGTAGAGCGATATTTTAAAGAAGAAATCCCCCCTTTTTGTTTTTTTCGCCTTTGTTTTGCAACACCTTGTGAAGGTATGATTGCTAAGTGGTCAAAAAATAATTTAATTTACCAAAGTTTACCCAAGTCTACTGTCGACACCGAAATTTCTCGTATATTGGAATATTGAGATTATTCTTAAAATATCCATAACAAATCTCACAACTTTAACATTTTCTCGCAAATAAAAATAATGATGGCTTTTATTGCAATTCAACTGAAAAAAAATCCCTTCACTTCTGACCGGTTTCTTTCGATTGCCTTGCGAAACACGCGCCCGTAGTAACATGAATCGCAACGCCAATCCCGCAAAAATCTGTCAAACGGCGAGCAGTTTCCCCAAAGTTAAAAAATGTTTAATAAATTATTCCCGACATGAATAATAACCCGAAAACTGTAAAAGCTTTTTGATGCCGCGTCCTGGCAGGATCGATTGAAAAACGGCCATACTCGCCACGTCTAACTTTTTTATCTTTGGTCCCTAAAATATGCATGCTTGGCGGGTTTTTCGAACGGACGCGGATGGATCGGGTTGCGCCTGTCGTTTTTATAGTTTTTGCTGTATTGCCGGGCCGTTTTAAATTTGTTATGCGATACGATTCCCGAGAAATCGGCCAACATTATATATTATTCGTACACGTAAGGTTTATCGCTGTCGCCATTATATTTTGGAGGCAGCGGAACCGCTTGCGACATTTAATT